AAGGAGCGATTGAATCTCAGCTAAAGGTCTCCCCTCCCCATTAGATTTCCAGCTATGGCTGCGAACGGTGGAAGCGCTGAGACGACATCGGCGGCCCCGGGAGCCAGCAATCCCATTGACATCCATGTACGGGTGCCAACCCACGAGCGGCTCATGTCCATTGACAAGGGCATGGCACCGTCCTCGCCGACGCTGCCCAGTCCCACGATTCGGCGGAATAAGAGCGACGGCAAACTAATGGCCCAGGACATCAAGGAGGCACGGGTGCGTGTCATCTACACGGGCGGCACCATTGGCATGGTGCGCAACGAACGAAATGGTGAGTGCTCTGCCCCACCGCCTGCCCGAGCCTCTGGACTCGCTCATCTTAATTTCTCGTGCCATTTCAGTGCTGGCGCCCATACCAAATGCCCTAGTGCGAAGCATTCGCAAGTATCCGAACATCCATGACGAGGAGTATGCACTGCAGCGCTTTGGGGCCTCGGCATCGATGGCGCCGCTTGTCCTGCCCTTTGTCCAGGGTGTGGACAGAAGGATCCTATACCAGGTGACCGAGTACACGCCGCTGCTGGACAGCAGCAACATGACGATGAACGACTGGGCCCGCATTGCCAATGATATACAGGTACGTGCTTATGGTGGGATCAACGCATTGATGGGGAGAACTAATCCGCGATGCCTGATGCCTGATGCCCGCAGCAATCGTACGAGTTCTTTGACGGCTTCGTGGTGCTGCATGGCACCGATACGCTCTCGTACACGGCCTCGGCCCTGTCGTTTATGCTGGAGAATCTGGGCAAGACGGTGATCATCACGGGATCGCAGATACCGATCTTTGAGACGCGCACCGACGGCAAGGATAACTTCACGTCGGCGCTCATCATAGCCGGCAACTACATCATACCGGAGGTGTGCATCTTCTTCGGCCACAAACTGATGCGCGGCAATCGCACGGTGAAGGTCAGCTCCAATTCGCTGGACGCATTCGATTCACCCAATGTGCCGCCGCTGGCGCGGATTGGCATCGATGTGAATGTCGACTATCGTCTGATCTTTCGGCCCTGCAGCATCGAACGCTTTTGTGTGCATCTGAATCTCGACGAGAATGTCGGCCTGCTGCGTATCTTTCCGAGCATTTCGCTCTCCACATTTCGCGCCTTTCTGGCGCCCCCCATCAGGGGTGTGGTGCTGCAATCGTTCGGCTCTGGCAACATACCCTCGAATCGACGGGACCTGATCGCGGAGCTGCAGGCGGCCGCCGATCGTGGCGTGATCATCATTAACTGCACCCAGTGTCCAAACGGCTCGGTGGCGGAGATCTACGATACCGGCAAGGTGCTGTGCGATCTGGGCGTCATTCCCGGCTACGACATGACCCCCGAAGCGGCACTCTGCAAGCTGGCCTATGTCATCGGCAAGGAGAAGTGGTCGCTGGACGTCAAAAAGCAGGTAAGCCCCAATGCGAATCGCTCTCCCTTGGGGTTATCCCACAAAGTGTTGCATCTTTTGTTGCCAGATGATGCAGTCGAATCTGCGCGGTGAGCTGACATCGGTGACGGCCCCAAAGATGGAGGACTACGATCTGGTGGATGCTGTGGCGCGCTCTTTGCACCTGTCCTCGCCCCAGGAGCTGGACCAGCTGGGCGCCACCCTCTTCCCGGCCATGATCAATGCCGCCGTCGCCGAGGGAGACCTGAAGAAGATCAACAACCTGAAGGCATACGGCGCCGACCTCTCCGGCACCAATCACGACCAACGAACGGCCCTGCATTTGGCCTGCCAGCTGGGCAACGTCGATATCGTCAAATATCTGCTGCAGAACGGCGTCTCCGTTCACATACGCGACCGCTACGATCGTACCCCACTGCTGGAGGCCGTCTCCACGGACAGCCACGAGATCATCCAACTGCTCATCAATTGTGGCGCCCACCTAACCGGCTCCTCACGAGCCGTCGGCGAGCAGCTGTGCGCAGCCGCTGCCCGCGGCTCCCTCATCCGCGTCAAGTCGTATCAGTATGCGGGCGCCGATCTGTCCCAGCCGGATCCGTCGGGACGCACAGTGCTGCATGTGGCCGCGCTGCACGGCTTCCCCGAGGTGGTGGAGTACGCGCTGCCCTACTTCGAGAGGGCCAGCGAGAAGGATTTGCTCGGTCTGAGCGCCTTGGACTATGCAGAGCGTGGCGGTCACGCAGCCGTGGTGGAACTGCTGAAAGCAGCTTTATGCGCGGCCTAGAGTCGCCTTACTCCGGGCCACTGTTACTTAAGTGCAAGCGTCTAGTCTGGTCTGGTCTGGTCCTGTGGTTCCTTGTAGCCTAAGTATTAGGATATGCGTATTGATGTATTGTCTGATTGTTACTAGATTAATGTATATTACTGAGTAATTTTTAATAGAAAAAAAGTTTAGCTGATCCGCTGGATATTTGTGGGGCGGATTTTATTTGGCGCAAAACATTCTCCTCCCCCCATTGTATGTGAAATTCATGATTTTCAGTGCAGCCATAAAACTTGTTAGCTTCGTGCCTGTTGTCTACGCACACACACACACAAATAAAGATATTCAGGCAGAAGGAATACAGAAAATTAGAACATTTTTGTGTCTCCTTTCCCCTTCGCCAGAAAATCAAAATGGAGGAGAGTGAGCGTGATAAAAAACCCGAAATTTGTGGATCCAACACAGCGAAAATGGCTTTACCTGTTTCGTCCTGGCCGAATGAGAAAGCCCCGTGGCGCAGATTCCCACTGATCGGAGCAAACCATTTTGGCATTTCTTAGCATAGTTTTGGGTGTGTAGATTTCTGGGTAAGCAACGCCTGTGCCTCGGTGACGTCATCTCTACTACGTAGCTGCTGTTATATTTTTATAGCTTTGTGTTAGGTGGGCAAATAAATGGGTAATAAATAATTTAAATTATTGCTGTTGCTCATGCTCTCATAGTTTTCTTTCAGTCCAGATATTCGAGCGAGCATCCTTTAACCGAATAAATATTTTGTATTGGTGTGACACGCCCTGCTTGACTTTTCTTATGCTACGCTACTGCTATCTCGCTCTATTTCAAATCGATGAGCAAGAGCGAACGTGCGACAGAGAGAGAGAGAGAGAGAGTGAGAGGGAAGACCATTGGAGGGAGAAAGCGAATCTTTGATGTATTTTGGTTTTATTTAAATTTATTTCAAATGATATTTGATGTTTAATTAACAATGTTTCATTTTTTTTTTCCTTTGAGAAAAAAACACTTAGGTTCTTAAGATTCATGTTTTAAATATTATACTTTGTTGTTGTTTTGTTTCCCCCCGGTTCGTGTCGTTTTCTTTTGTTCTTTCTGCATTCTGCTTGGAACTGCTTCCTTTATTTTTTTTTTTTGACCATTATCTTTCTGTCGTGCTTGTGTGTGTGTTCGGGATGATTTCCATTAAATAATGCAATTGAAAGTTTGACGACGAGTGGGGGAGGACACAGGGGGCGGTAGGGGGGTGAGGTTTGGTACAACAACTGTTGAATGCTGATCTCGAAATCCATTTCCACACTTTATTATGATTTTCATATATCATTTTATATATGTATACATACATACATACATATATATATATATATATCTTTGCTACAGCTGACATCAAGTACATTTTGCTTATGATTTGCTTTTTCATCTTTTTCTTTTGTGTGTGTGTGTGTGTGTGTGTTTTCTCCTCGTTTGTTATTTTTCTCATTTCATTTAAATTTTCATTTCGTTTATCTTTATATTTATTTATAGGTTTTCTTTTTTGTTCTGTATTTCTAGGTTAAACATTTAAATACGATTTCCACATGCCTATGAAAATACAGCGCTCATACACGCATGTGTATATGCTCGTATGTATGTTTTTTATATATATAAATCTATATACCCTTTCAATGCTTTGCAAAATATTAAACAAAAATTTAAAAAAAAATTTAAAAAAAAACAGCCAAAAACAATCGCAATGAATAATAAGGAAATATATGTTCAAAAACAAATCAAAGAGAGGTTGCTCCTCCTACTCTTCTCTTTAGTTTTGTTTTGTTTATACATGCCTAAGAGGTTGCGGGGGAACGAAGGGTCTTGCTGGGGTTGGCGAAATATAGTAAACCATTCAAAATTGATTTTTGTGTGTTGCTGCTGTCAAATGTTTATAAAAACTTGATTGATTCTGCTGTAACTCTCCCATCATCTTTAGATATTCATACATATGCACATACACATATCCACAACATATCAGACCCATCTGCAGATCCTCTTGCACTGGCAGATAACATTTCGGACACATGTATGCATGTATAATAACGATTTCGATCATATAGACCTTACAATTATCCATACGCATAGTACATATTTAGTTTCTGGAATTGTTTTAATTAATCTTCAGACATATTTTATATAATATGTGATACATTAAGATCGCAAGTGTATGCTCATATATTTTCTAGATTTTCTTGCAGTTTATAATCTTTTGAATTGTGTTGTTGTTGATTTTGTTTTATAAAATGTGTGGGGGGGAGGTCTCTTCCAATTTAGCTGCTCAGTTGGTTGAGTAGATGTTTTGCTTACATAAATTCTTCACATCAAATCCATATATTTAAGTATCCAAACATACGTACATACATATACATATATATATATAGCAATACACTTTTTAGATTTTAATGTGGATGCATGGTATTGATTGGATTATAGGTTGAACCATTGAAATGACTAAAAAAAAACTACTTAAATGCAAAATGCCATCCGAAAAATAAAACTTATGATCCTTATATATCTTCTTTTTATATAATTCCCTTTTTATATGTGCTAATGGGTGAATGGGGATGGTTGGTGATAGGGGTAGAGACAGTAATGGATAGTGGGGGGGAGGGTGAAGCAAACTGTCCTTTATAGAGAGCGGCGCTGGCCTGGCAGAGCAGTTTTATTTTTTGTTTGTTTGTTTGTTTTGTTGTTTTGTTTTCGTGACATTCTTTTATTATTTATATGATTTTTCAAAGCGTTTTCCTGACTTTTTGTAATGCATTTTATTTTGCTCGTGGTTTTCCTTAATTATGCTTCTTCTTAGTTTTTTGCTTTAACAATTACATTTATCCAAGTTTTGTCAAAGCAAATAACAAACTCAATTAAAAATAAAACTGAAATCGGTTTGCATCCATTAAGAATGTTGGGTTTGTTTTTGCTTTTTGTCGAAAGTTTGTTTGTTTTTTTTAATATATAAGTTTTAGATTTTAAAAATATGTCTGATTGAAGAATAATAGAAAGAAAATAAGAGATGCGAGTTTCCACGACTCTAGACGTTAAATAATAATAGTTATCGTAAAGAATATTGTAATATTAGTTCAAAAAAAATATAAAAAAAATGCAATGGAAAATCTGAGCAATGCACTTTTTGGATTAAACTGGTTGTTTCTTTTTGCAGTGGTTTTGTTTTTGAATCATTTTAAGATTTAACTGCTTCATCTGCGAAGCCTTTACTTTCTGTTCGAGCGCAGCTCCTTTATCATCCTCCTTCTTCTTTATCCTCGAGAGCTAGTTTCCTTTTCGACTGCTCCTTCTGATGGTTTTAGTATCGCCGCCTCTTTCGTTTGCTTTTTTCTGTTGCTTCTGCGTTCGTTCGTTGTTATTGCTGCTATTGCGTCTTGTTGCGGTTTGATGGTGCTGCTGCTCCCTGATGCTGTTCTCTTTCTTGTTTCTTGTTTTTTGTTTTCTGTAGTTCTGTAGTTGTTAGTGATTCTGCTGCATGTTGGATAATTTATGGCATTCAGAGCAAAAATTTGCCCAGTAAGAGACCCAGTATGGCCGCAGCAATTGCAATTGCAATATAAAAGACCGGAATCTGTTTCTCAGCCAGCACTGGGGCATAGGGCTCGTTCGGCTGCTTGAGGACCGCTGAGCTGCGATAGCGTGTGATTTGATCCTGCAACAGAAAGATTTAATTTCCATTAATTCCATTAAGGGCAATCGTTACGGTGAACCAGGGACCCACCTTCAAGTGTAGATTCTCTTTTCGTAGTTCACTGTTGGACTCCTGCAGCGCCTTTAACTCATCGGACGAGTCCACATGCTCAGTGGCATCGGGCGAATTTGAGGCCTATGAAAAAGGATTGGTTTATTAAGAATAATTCTTTGGGAGCGCTACAAAGACACACACCTTCTCATCGCTGGACAGCTTCGTGTCTGCCCAAATTCCCTCGGCGATGACGGAACTGACATTGGTACCCGCAGTACCTCCGCCGGCGCTGCCGGTTCCACCGCCCACGGCTCCGCCGCTGGGGTTCTCTGCATTTGCCTCGGCACTGGGCATCTCGAATACGCATTTCAGCTTGGCATCCATTAGCTGCTGCGGCTCCAGCTCCTTCCACTGCAGAGGATGATATCAATGATAATGGAATGTTAATGGGGGCTTTGGTATGGTAGTCATTAGTCACAAGCCACTTACCAATTTATTCAAATCGGTCAGATCAGCATCCATCGGTGCGAGGACGCTTTGCACCATGAACTTGTGCTTGTTTTTCTCCTGCTGATCGTACATAAAGGGCTGCAGGCAGACTGTAATGGGATTGGGATTGGTATTAGATTGGTTTTCAGCCAGTCCATATGGATATTATTGAGTACTTACTTTCCACCTGGGTCGAGCGAAATGGCAGAATCTTGCCAATGTTTGGACGTACACAGTAGCGCTTTGGTGCGGTTGTCTTGATCTTGAAGACCAGTGGCACCGCCGCATTATTCCGAAGGGTCATTATTGTGACGACGGACCGATTGAAGGGACCTGAAGAAAAAGCGAATGCATTTGATTAGCAATCAATCGAATTAACAGAACCCGCCCCACCCCCCTCATTCCAAGCAACAACTGATTTGTGTCACGTCACGCCCATTGCGTCATTAGGCAAAGTTGGCAGCACCAAAAACGAAGGCAAGTTCAAATTAATTGAATTAAAAGCAGAAGCAACAAAAAGAACCAATAACTAGAAGCAGTGCACAAGAGAGCAGAGAAAAGGAGCCGAAACTTGAATACCCTCCCAAACTAATATTGGTGCTAGAAACTGAATGAATACCCTCTGAAACATCCAAAAGAATTAACAGGACAGACTGGGATGTCCTTCCATGTGGCTTAACATGGAAAATCATATTAGAGTTTCGATCTACGCGTGGGATGCAAGTGATCTGCAAGTGGGAAGAGTGCAAAAACAACAGCAGAAGCAGTGTTACGGATTCCTTTTACTGCGTGCGTGCGTGTTTCTTCCTATTCGCGTATACATTTGTGTATATGTATATGTGTCAGTGTGTGTGTCCATGAAGGAAATTTCATTAGACAAAGTCGCGTCATGCATGTGCGTCGCCCCCTATCCGCAACCCCATACTCTACACTTTACGCTAGTCAACGATCAAAGGCGGAGGAAGGGAGGAGGAAGGGCTGAGGACAAGAATGGGGCTAAGGCAGGGCTGACATAGGCACACACACACAGCAATATGAAAATATTTGTGCACAGTGGAACAAAACAAAAGTTAATTGGCGTTGCACGAGCAAAATAAATAATACTGATTCTCTCTCTTCCCTACACATGCATAGTTCTAGTTCTTTACACACATGTGTTTTGTGTGTTTTCCAATTAGTAACAATCGGGTAAATGCATTGCCACCGCCCACTGTGCGAGCTCTGTGCTGTCATATGGGATTATTGTTGTTGCTGCATCTGCCGCTGCTGCTATTGCTTTTTGGCCAAAATTCAAAAAGACAAAAAAGAAATTAAAAAATAAAATCGGCCCATGACAAGTTTTTGCGTATAAAAATAATATTGTAGCCAAAAAAGCAAGGAGAGAGAGAGAGAAAGAGACGGCGGTCAGAGAGCGCGAACGAATATCGAGAGTAAGAAAACAACGCCAGCTGCCGGCAACAAGAGCATAAGCAGAAGAAAGAAAGAGGGACGGCAGCAGTGACAGCGGCGGTCGGGACAGGACAGGACAGGACAGAAGGAGATGGATGAAAACATGGTGAAACAGCCGCACACCACACGTAGACCTAAAAAAATGTCAAAAATGTCCAACAAAAACAACGGAAATTATTGATAAGCTGCAAAAGAAAGCAGCGCCAAGTGACAAGGAAAATGAGACAAAGCAGAGACGGTGGTAAAAGAGCACCAAAGCGAGACGCAATCACACATCAAGCGGCTTGTGTGTGCTGTGTGGTGTGTTTGTTGGTGTGCGTGCGAACTTTGCAGTTTGCTCCCAGGCCCTTTTGACCTAACAAAATGAACAAATCTTGCAATAAATTGGAACTTGAAATTGTAATGGTTAAATGCTTCAACTCTTGGTGCTGCCGCCGCCGATGCGTCGTCGCCTACATTGGTCGATACATGAACAACATATGCATGTACATATGTATGTAGCAATGGGTGTGCGTGCGCGAGTGTGGTGTGGTTGGGCCAACATGCAAAATGGCCTTTCCCATCTCACACGCTCACGCGATGAATGGATGGGGAGAGAGACAAACAATAACAAATTGCTAAAGAATCAAGAGAGTTTCACTTTTTAATTTTTTACCAGTTCCACTACAAAAAGAAATATGAAAAAAAAACTCACCCACAAAACGCAACTCATGCTCCGGATCAATGGTCAGCGGAAGCTCGAAGTTTGGTTTGCTCATGGCTGCTGTTTGTATGGACTCCACTGTAGAAAAATTGCAACTTCTTGTCTGCTTTTCGGTATTCTTCCTTAATTCTTTTGTGCGTTTTTGCGCGCTGCTTGTCCTGGTTTTGCCTTCACCTTGTTGTCGTTGTAGTTGTAGTGGTGGCTGTTAAGGGAATGCGAATGCACACGGAATTGTATTACACACTCACTCAAACACACACACACACACAAACTCAGCAGAGACACGCAGCACGTAAAATTTTGCTGATTTTCGCTTACGTTCTTTTCGTTCTTCTTGCGTTTCTTCCCGGGCTGCTAATATTTTCCGAGAAAAACCTTTTTATGCTACCTTTTTAACTAGATTTCCCGATTGTTTTATTTTTTCTCTTCTCGACTTTTCATAAGCTGCGCGTTGCTCGTTTGTCGCTGCTGGCTCCGTCCGATTTGTCAGAGAGCGAGGCCAGGCGAAATATCGGTAAATTTATGCGACCACACACACACACACTCTCGCTCACGGTTAGAATATAAAGAATATACCAAACACAAATTCCGTGTTGTTGCGTACAAAAAAAAAACGATGATCAACCCTGCTTCGTGCAATGCAATTTTCTACTCGATTTGATGTCACTTTGATTCTGGCTCGGCTATTTCACTTAGTTAGTTTAGCTTTTCTTCGAATCTAGTAAAATTTTCATATGCAAATGCAGAGGCTAAAAATTCAGTCAGCAGAAAAACGCCCGTCAAACGCATGCGTTACCTTAGAGTTCTAGGCCGACCGGCAGAATTATTTAACAACGCCGTTGGCCGGCAAAATTCTGAAACAACGCCGTTTCGTTCAGCGTTGCCATACCGTTCCGTTCAATGCAACTCATGGGCACTAACCATACAGTATATAGATTTGCCAGTTCATACAACGAAAGGGGCGCAGCTGAGGTTTCTGTCCCAGCACCCCCAGGTCTTCGGCTAGGGTGCTGGGACCATTCGGCTGTGGTGCTGAGACGTTCGGGTCGTGGGCCTGAGTCGTTCGGCATTTTTTCGACATGTTCGATTCATGACGAGATGCGAAAGCAAGCTGAGAATTGCAAATGTATGTGTGTAAACAGACACGACAAAATTTTGTATCAATTCTTATTTTCCGAAACCGTTTTGAGTTTCGTTTCCAGATTACGTAAATGTGTGTGTGCCATGTATTCACACATACTGTGCTTGTGTGTGGGCTCTACAATTGTTGGCCGCTTGAATTCGTTTGAATTCGTTTTGTTTTGAGGGCTGATGTGATGTAGCGACCTATTCAGGGCCGGATCAACCCTAAGCCGGGCCCTGGGCAACCATCAATCTGGGCCCTCCTTTATTTTGTATTTTTCTCAGTGGCTATTATATTTTTTATTCATTATTTGGAGTTCTGTTTTTTTAACAAAATTTTTTTGTTATTCCTAGGGGGCCCTAGGCAACTGCTAATCCGGCCCTGAATCTATTCCCGTCGTAAGACTTCATATTTTCTTGGTGTGTTCTGTCGCTCGACTCGACGCGGGTCGGGTCGAGGCATTGACGAAGCCGTTCATAGAAATATCTTTTGCCTTGAAAAGCTGTTGTATGCGTCGGGCGCGCGGGCTAATTCTTCCATTCTCTTTTAGGCTAAACATTCTTTATGCGGCTTCGTCAATGCCCCGACCCGACCCGCGTCGAGTCGAGCGACAGAACACACCAAGAAAATATGAAGTCTTACGACGGGAATAGGTCCAGGGCCGGATTAGCAGTTGCCTAGGGCCCCCCTAGGGCTAACAGAAAAATTTGTTGAAAAAACAAAACTCCAAATAATGAATACAAAATATAATGGCCACTGAGAAAAATACAAAATAAAGGAGGGCCCCAGATTGATGGTTGCCCAGGGCCCGGTTGAGGGTTGATCCGGCCCTGAATCGGTCGCTACATCACATCAGCCCTCAAAACAAAACGAAAAACCAATTCAAGCGGCCAACAATTGTAGAGCCCACACACAAGCACAGTATGTGTGAATACATGGCACACACACATTTACGTAACCTGGAAACGAAACTCAAAACACGTTTCGGAAATAAGAATTGATACAAAATTTTGTCGTGTCTGTTTACACACATACATTTGCAATTCTCAGCTTGCTTTCGCATCTCGTCATGAATCGAACATGTCGAAAAAATGCCGAACGACTCAGGCCCACGACCCGAACGTCTCAGCACCAAAGCCGAATGGTCCCAGCACCCTAGCCGAAGACCTGGGGGTGCTGGGACAGAAACCTCAGCTGCGCCCCTTTCGTTGTATGAACTGGCACATCTATACTGTATGGTTAGTGTCATGGGCCATTCCCCACCCCAACCCTCTAACAGAATTTTGTCGTTCAAAAATTCGATATTTCCCGATTTCATTGGAAACAAATTAACCACATTTACATACATTTTTATTAATTATTTTGGGAGCATGGGGAATATTAAATTCAGCGAATTGTGTTTGATTATTTGTTTAATACTATGGAATTCTTTACTTTTTAAATCCATTTTTCTGGTATGGCAGTCCTATTAAGAGACGGGGCTGCCATATGTTCATTGGCGCCAAATTTGAACTTCAAATGAGTATTAATAGGTTTTAAAATATTAACAAAAGTCATAGTGTGTATGTACGTATCAATAAAAGATAAGTGAAAAAAAAAATAGTTATAGTTAACTTAACCTTGGCGATTTCAAATCGAAGCTCAAAGCTTAATCAAAACAGCAGCCCTGTGCATTTTTCCTCTCTCCATTAATTTACTCCAGTCCGGAATGGTCGGTCTATGAAACGTTATGCATACGATCCAAGCCCTCTACGTTTTTCGCCACGAGCATGTTTAGGATCATCCGCGCGGTTATGGCCGAATGCTCAAAGCGGCATTTGCTCGGCGCCAGGGCCACAATATCCCGTATGTGATCGGCAAGGCGATCAGACTTCGCGGGCTTCGACTGTTCTATGTATCTCATGAAGGCATACATGTAGTTGCGGAAGAAGAATCTATAGGCAGCTTTTGCCTGCGGTGCGTCGCACAAGTCGATTTGCCGCGAGATCTCCGCCATGATGGCGCAATCGGTCTTGTTTTCGATGGCCTTAAAAAACAGGTTAGTCGCCTCTATGGCGCTCGACTGCATTATGAGTATGATGCATTTATCCGCAAAGTCACGATCTGTCGACAAAATGTTTGTTATCTTCCAGCGTTCACCCTGCACCGAAGTGTCCACCTGGCCCAGCATCTTCTGGATGAGTTCTGCAAGGGCATAAGTAAATTAAGAATGGCAGTGCTGGCAGAGGGCTGCAGCTCGCTACTCACCAGGGTCTCCGCTCAGGATGGTCGGCGAATTATTTTTATAGTAACTTACAGCCAGGTTGAGGACATCGACGCGGATCTGGTCGAAGGTCGGTATAGTCCAGCGCAGGGCGTCTATGGTCTTCATTAGCTGCGACAACACTGGCCAACTGTTCTTGCGCCATTGGATAAGATGGGCATGCATTTTGACATAGGTTTTGGCCACTTTCACGCTGGCTGCCGATGCCTTATCCCTGGTCATTTCCTCAATTTGCTCCTTGCCGTTCATTTGGATGTATTCATCGGCTGATTCGACATTTAGAAGATTGTGCAGGATGCACTCGATGAGATGAATGTGATTCGAGTCGGTGAACTTGGCCAGTCCCGTGGCAAGGGCCTCCAGGTATCCGGACTGGGCGGCCTGCAGCTGCTCGACACTGTAGGGCATTGCGCCCGGCTGTAGATTCAGGTTGTAGTTGCACAAACCTTTGTTGACCCGTTCACTGAAGCTACGACTCGAAGGGGTGTGTAGGCCAGTCTTCATGCCGTTCAGTATCAACGGATACGCGTACAGGGAGAGCAGAAAGTCCGTGGAGTTCGGGCGCGTTATCATGTAGTCATCTTTGAAGATGTGCGCGGTGGTGCTCTTCATGTAGTGAATGGCGTGGGGGGCGAGCTGGCAGGCGAGGTTCCAGAATATGTCCATGAAACGTGAATGTGACATGGCCAGCTCGGCCAGTGCCTGCCAGGCCATCTGCGAGTCCTCGTAGCAAATATCCAGAAACTCTGAAAGGTTCGCCCGGTCAGGCTGGCTGTCGAGCCGGTTAAAGAAGAGAACGCGACGCGGGTTGGAGGCCCGATTGCAAAAAGGGAACGCCGTGGTGAGCCCAAGCTCATCGCGAAGCTGCAGTATCTTCTGCTTAGTTTCCACACTGGATCCGATATAGATGAGATGCGCGACCTGACGCACCACGGCATTGTATTGGCTTCTCTGCTGCTTTTTCTCTGCAAGGCTCAGGGTATCATCCTCTGCCTCCTCGGCCAGATATTCGGCCATATGGCTGAATATCAATTTGATGTGATCGTATCCCAGGAATTTCACATGTTTCGACATGGTGTCCACGCACTCGTCACTAACAAAACAAATGGGACGCTGAAAGAGTTCTTCCAGTCCGGCCAGGGTCTGCGCCTCGGTTATTTCGCCCCTATCACCGTCCAGGAAGCGCAATAGTTCGCGCAAACTAAGTTCTGCCAGGCGCGTTTTTAACGACTTGGCCGCTCCGGCGAAGTTTTTCAGTTGTCCGCAAATCAAGTGATCGCCCAGTTCTGGCATGTTCTTATTGATAAGGGTCAACACACCCGCTGACTGGCAGCAGATCACCTCCTGGTAGCTGTAGAGCATCTGGCTGGAGGCAAGCTCTAGCCAGCTCATGTATGTGTCCACGGTCACCAGCTGCAGGACACGCTGCAAGGCGTCCATCAGAATCGTGGAGTACCGATTCACCAACGGCTCAGCATTCTCCTGCTTTGGGGAGCATGTTTCATCGTAATCCATGAACTTATAGATTGCCCAATATTGTGGCTTCTCAGCGGGCTGCTGGAGGGTCGCGAGCAGCACATCGAGCAGCTGATTCATGGCCAGGGCTAGGTAGCGCTTGCGCGGAGTTGGCAGCAGTGCGCGCAATCGATCGGCGCTGTCCAGCAGATGGCGTTGAAGGAGGTTAGCCGTCTGGTCCAGGAGTTCGCTGGCATCATCATGCTTATAATAGGCAATGGCCTGCCGAGCGGACATGAGAAAACCCGTGAATAACGACAGGACATCAAAATTGTTGGAGACCAACTTGGGCACATTTTCGTTTAGATAATCGTAGAGCCGGCTGGCTAGGCAGCTCTGTCCGTAGGCCAGGCACTCGTTCAGCGGCTGTTGCAGACCGCATTTCAGGGCAATAGCAAGGGCCACGATTGTGGACATGGGTGGCACCTGGCCCACCAAATGCACGCAATCCGGATTATAGCGGTCCTCTTTCAGGCAGTCAGTGGTATTTAGTAATAGCAAGGCTAGGACGCCGCGCAATCCGTTCATGGTTTCAGTGCCAGAGGAGGAGGGTTCGGTGACCAGTTCGTCTTTCATTTTGTCATGTGGCCGTTGCACCACCAGGTTGTGCTCCATCAGCACTTTGTTGACCAGATTGCAGATCTCAGAAATGTGCTCGTCATCGCCTGTTAACGAGATGAGCTCATTTTACATGTTTTTGTTGTCTTTCTACCGCTATGTCTTAGACGCGCAACTTACCGCTTAAATAGACGAAGGTGTTGAGCCTCTTCGACTCTTTGTCATAGCGTTTGAGCGTATCGCCCAACTGGGCAAACACCTCGCAATTGTCCAGCGGAGACATCTTCACTTTAATAATCCTTGTTTCCAGCTAAATTCAAATTTAGACGCAAACTCTACGAACAGACGAGAAATATTGTGCCTCGCTGCTTTATGGACGGACTGTAAAGCAGCGACGTCGGCGGCGCTGCCTTGCTCGATTCCTCGATTTTGATATTCGATTTAATATTATCAGCTAGCTTGGACTCTCAACAGTAAAAATACAATTTTATCCTATAGATAAATAAATTTCCTACAGGATTGGCTGGTTTTCAGAATTCCCCTTGATTGGAATGCTTACAAAATAAGGTTCGGTTCAAACAAAAATGAAAGTGAAATGTGTGTGTGATGGAAGCCGCCATCCGATTTATACGATGATTTATATGACTGGTAACCGATATCTGTAACATCCACTAAAACGTCTAAAAATAATTGATGGTTTAATTTTGTATTTGGCTGATAGGTGTAAAATAATTAATAGCTGAATGTGAACATATTTTTCATTTGGCTGACTATTCAGCAAATAATATTGAATAATGTCAATCGATAGTCGAATTCCAGCGCTGCCAGTGAAGCCGATAGATGTGCTGTGCAATGTTTTTAGCAAACATTTAACAGGTGAGTGTGTGGAACATTAGCTGAATTTTACTTTAAGCCGTATACAACTTTACTTAATTAACTGCAAGGAAACCGCATGTGAAATGTCTACGTGGTGGAAACTTCGAAGGTCGCGGGCTTTGGCGGGCTAGTGCGATCAGCTGTCCGCCGCATCGATTAGTGGGCGCCTATCGGCCGGCTGCAGCAAGAAGCAAACGCGAAAGGAGAGGCAGCCAAGGCGAGCGCAAAAAGAAGCGAACGTGTGAAACGGGTCAAGCGAAAGTGGGCCAAGACCATGCAATAGGCAAACTAGTGAGAAGCCGCACACTGCCAAGACTACACAACAGCAAGGCGACAGTGGAGGAGTGTCATCATGGAACTGCGTGAGCTGCGCGCCAGCGGCTCGGCCGGCAACATCAGCAGCAGCAGTTGCAACAGCAACAGTGGCATCAGTGTCGGCGGCGGAGGCGTCGAGCTGGGAGGCATCTGTATTGGGAGCGCCGGCGGTGGTGGCGTCCAGCGTGTGCCAACCAAGGCGGACCTGTTCATGGAGCAGCTGAATGCCACAAATGCCAAAAAGGTGGCCCTACTCCTAGTCCTAGGCTTCGTCCTCTACCACGGCCTGCTCAATTGGAACTACGGTGGGTGTTTGTCTCTCTGTGTGCGTGTGTGTCTGTGTGTTCGTATCGATTTGTCCTGTTTAAACATGTAATTGAATTTGGCTTGTGGCGTTCCATTAACAGGCAGCGACTCCTGCCAGTGGCTGCTGTCGAAAGGCCGCTTCAAGGGCGACAACGAATGGCAGCCGTACGGGTGCATGGTGCACAAATACTCCCTCACGTGAGTGGCAATTCCGATTCCGAATTCAATTAACATTCTCCCATATTCCCACAATTATCATTGATAACTCTTTCTATCTCTATCTCTATCTCTATCTGTCTCCCCATGCAAATGACTCACCCACTGACCCACCCACCGACTGAAATTCCCTGCCATGCCACTATCTAACGCACTGACAGCGATACGCGGCGATGCCTGCGTTACCTGGCCTTCTTCGACAACAAGAACAACTTTGTTTTCATTGGGGACGAGAGCGTGCGCCTGCTCTACGAGCGGTTCATCGAGCAGCTGCGCCAGCTGCCACTTTCCTCCGACGAGGACAACAACGGATCATCGCGGGCCCACGACGACAGAGCAGCGGTTCGATTCGAGGACAACAAGCTGCACATGCTGGCCCAGTACATCAGGGCCGATGAGGTCAGTCCAGCGCTCATCGATCGCCTGTACCGACTGGAGACCGAGAAGCAGCTGTCCTCCGTCTACGTGGTGGGGCTGACCTACTCGGGCCTGCTCGGCGGTAATATAACCGAGGAGGTGCTGCGACAGTACAGTGCTAATCTCACCCTGCTGGTGGCCCCCTTCCACCGCCTGGTGGCTCAGACATCGCGTGTACTCTGGAAATTGGCTGATCGCGTGGACGAAGAAAAGCTGCCGGTCGCCTGGAAACTTCTAATCAATGAGGACATCGATCGGCTTAATTATGTGGCCCGCAACGTATTTCGCTACACGGAGGCCACCGTCTGGGAGTCGGCCTGGCACATTGCCAACGGGCTTCTGGATGCCGCCATTGACGGACATCAGCTGTGTGCCCACGGCCAGCGGCTGGAAGTGCAGCTGCTGTGGAACATGTACTGCAACGACTACATGAATTACAATGACGGCACATGCTGCAGCAGCTCGGAGCCGCACACTACGCTACAGATTGTGGCCTACGCCCTGTTCGGCGTGTGCATGACGCTCGTCTGCGGCATGTGTCTGCGTCGCTGGCTACTTCATCTGCGCGGCCACACGCTCTACGTGCCGCTGCAGCAGCATCAGCAGGAGCCGCATCAGCACCAGACAAACAGCGGAGGAAGAGGTGGCGCTCCCACCCATGCCCTGTCCGCACTGATCACCGACTATGGCACACCGATGGTCGCGCTGTCGCTGCTCGGCCTGATCATGGCCTATTTCTATGTATGCGACCGCACAAACTTCTTTATGAAGGAGAACAAATACTACTCGGAATTCAGCTTCTGGATACCCGTGGGCTATGTGTTCGCCCTGGGTCTGTTCTTCACGGAGGACTCGCGCTTCACCAAGGTCCTAAACAGAGATCAGACAGACGAGCTGCGCGGCTGGATATTGCTGGTGGTGCTGATCTACTATATGACGGGTGCGCAACGTGTGCTGCCCATTCACATGCACATTAAGCTGCTCATTTCGGGCTACTTCTTCCTCACCGGATACACGCACTTCACGCACCTCTGGCAGACGGGGGGCAGCGGCTCGCTGTTTGTCCGCTTCTTCCAGGCCATGTTCCGTGTTAATTTCCTCAGCGTGCTGCTCTGCTTCTGCATGAACCGTCCGTACCAGTTTTACTACTTTGTGCCACTCCTCTCCTTCTGGCTGTGCATCGTCTACTTTGTGCTGTCGCTGCCGCCGAGGATATCGTCCGCGTCGGTGGACTCCAATCCGCTGCACTATCTCTATCTGGTGTGCAAATGCATCGGCTGCCTGGGCGTGATCACGGTGCTGTTTATGTCTGAGGTCTTCTTCGAGCGCATCTTTGTGACGCGACCGTGGAAGGCGTTATTCGTCACCACCGACGACGACCTGCACGAGTGGTGGCACCAGTGGAAGCTGGACCGGTACACGGTCACCTTTGGTATGATGTACGCCGCCTGTTTCCACATTGCCCAGAAATACAATGTCTTCGATGACAACAACCATGGCAATTTGTTTGCGCGTCGCACATCCATCTCGGTGACGCTGCTGGCCCTACTGGGCGTCGGCATCTACACGTCCTTCTCGTTCCTGTGCCGCAATGTGCAGAACTGCGAGGAGATCCACTCCTACATCCTCTTTATACCCATTGTCGGGTATGTGGTGCTGCGCAACATCTCAGGGATACTGCGCACCAGATACTCCAGCTTCTTCGCCTGGTTCGGACGAATCTCGCTGGAATTGTTTGTCTGTCAGTATCACATTTGGCTAGCCGCCGACCGCCACGGAGTGCTCGTCCTGCTGCCCGGCTTCCCCACGCTCAACATGATAATCACCTCGTTCATTTTCGTTTGCGTCTCGCACGAGGTACACCGCCTGACCCACATCCTGCTGCCCTATGCCGTGCCCAATGACTGGCGTCTCGTCATGCGCAATTTTGTCATTTTTCTCATTGTGCTTATACCAGTGGCACGGTCCGACGGCATGTTCTGAGCACAATTCAATTGTCCTCGGCTCATGTGCAACGTGCACCCGTCACACAATAGCCTGGATATGTTTGTAGAGCGTGTCATTGCTGTAAGCCAATTGTGGGTACAACTTTTCGTTCATTCGACCAAAGAGCTTTAAAAGATTGGAGGCGGCACCATTTTCAAAACTTACTTGATTTTTGTTAGCTGACTTTCGCCATTCTATCCATAGCGTGCAATAATATTCTCCAACTGAATTTGATTATTTACTTTGTTCTTATTGGAATACTTCTAATCCCTTGCCATCCCTTTAAATTTGCTTTTGTTTTTCGTTCTTATTAATTGTTCAAAGACTGATCTAATTCCAGTTCAAATTAAAACTGAAAGTTATTTTCTAGCTAAATGGATTTCACACCATTCGATCGGTTGAAACTGAACGTGCAATTGTCTTATAGTTTTGAAACGCAATATATATTATATACAAACATATTTAGATATCTCTTATGCCCGTGAAAACATTTACATGCAAACATACATATATTGATATATTTTACGCATATGTATACCATTTAGAATTAATTTAGCCTTAGCCCTACGTACAATTTGCACAAATTACTTAAAGTTTCACTCATACAAATACACAACACACACACACACACACACACACACACACACACTCACACACGAAGCGGCAACCAAATGTATGTATAGCGCCAGGAAATAAAGCATTGAAAATACAAATGTTTTACTAGGTGATTTCAGTTGAGAATGCAACTGAATCCCCGGGGTATCCACACACGAGTATGGCCAGCAATGAGACTTGGTGGGGATGAGAGTTGCACATCCATGTAAGTCTGAGTTGCGGCTGCAAATTCACCAAAATTCCATAACACACAACTGGTGACATATTTTGCCTATTTGGATGTGCTTACGTATGTGCATCAGTGACAAAAAGTGACGGCGACTGGGCGCGGAAAGGGACAAGATGTATGAAAGGCTGGATGAGACATTAAGGGATAGAACAGCAACTAAGGCTAACCAAGCTAGCCAAGATTTTCAGCTAGCAAGACAACTCATGTCTATGTTATATTTTGAGGTATGTCAAGTTTCAGGAATGGATAGTAATAGTAGTGGAACGTGTCCTGACGTTACGTTACTACAAACAGAAGTGGATATTGCACTTGGGTTTACAAAATTGCCAAACTCTTCGCATTGGGAGGGGACTAGCTGCATCATCAACAAGTGGGGGACTCGGCGTTACATGCGCCCAAACGCTCCCAATAAAAGTAAGGGTAAATGGGGGTGGGGGTGCATGTGCAGGTGCTTGTCCAATCCGAGCACACGAAAGCTTCCCTGCCCACCTCGAAAGCCCTTCGAATGCCAGTCGCAGAAAGCTTTGATGCTTCGCTGGCTCTTCGGCTCCATTTAACGGCTACGGTTCCTATCAGTATCGGCTCCCGCGGCTCACAGGTTGCAGTTAGCGCCTGAACGTACGTCGAAACGGTTAGTTGGCATCGCACAACTTTCAGGGAATCCCCCAAAACCCCAAAGTGGCAGCAACAGGAACACCGCACCAGCTGAACAGCAAGAGCTCCAACGCCAAAGCCTAAGTTGGATTCCCGCGTTTATTTGCTGCCACTCTGGGGTCAACGGTTGAGTCCTGTCCAATTCTTATTCTATGTTTTTTCTGTGCTAGAGTGCAGTGCCGTGCCAACGAATCGTTTCGAGTCCTACTTGTCTTTGCAGATCTGCAGAAAGAAGTACGTGGGCGAGTGTTAAGAAATTTCAAAAAGTGCGTGTCAGTTCAATCTAATCACTTGTTTTTTTATCATTTTTTTAATGTTATTCCAGTCAAGGCCAAAGTTAAAGAAAAATCAAATGTTTAATCGATTGAAAATCGAACTTCAGCAAACACCATTATCACCAATTTAAAGACCACATTTAGTTTAAATAAAAAATATTGGAAATGAGAATTTTGTTTGTATTCTTATTAATTTATTTTTTAATTGGACACAAATCATTTCGAATCGAAACAACTGTAAAACACTTCAAGCTAGTGAAATTAGCCACAGCACAGTCTATGGGCTGTTGGTCAAACAATTACGACAACACTCCGATTGACTGCATAAGAGGTGAGTGTTATTGAGATTTGTTCTGCTCATTTTTATTTCTAGCCATATTTAAAAGGTTATTTATTTTATGTTTTATTTTTGGTTGTTTCTATTATATTTTTAATCTTTTATTATTGTTACTTGCAACGCTTTATAATCTCCAACCATGTAAAGTATATTTATTATTAGCAAGGACGACAATAAGCATCCGTCCCGAACCGTCCGTTTGATTTTTTTTAAAAATAGTTTTGAATCTGGCATCTTCTTACAAGAAAATTCTGCCGCTTCTGAAACTCGTCACAACACACATACATATATCCAATTTGTTATCCCTTCCAAAATACTCTAAAATATAGGCTTTTCTGTGAAGGCGAACGTCCCGACTGTCCCAGTCGTACGCATTGCAAGTGGTAAAAAAAACGGATTTTCAAAAGTGTTTTATCTTTTTGACTAGCCCTATAACATGGTGCTCAGGTCGATTTAGTTGACAAGTATTCGTTTCCGATATTTTAAAACCATGCTTACTCGGGACAAAAATTTCAAGGTTAAAAGCGCTTAAAAATAAATAGTTAGAACCGATTGAACCAGTTTACTCGTATTATTTTTAAATAGTTGAATATGTTAGAAAGATTTTGTGGAATAACTTTTCTTAAGAATTATCTTTTCTATAAGAGAGAATAGTAATAGAAAAAAAAAAAAAAATACAAAATGCAAAAAAAGTGCATTTTTGCTTATTTGAATAGGTCTTCACATCAAAGTTAATTAAATTATATGTCAATTGGGTGAATTATTTGTCGGCTATAATTAAGACTATAATATCGCAACAGAATGACATGAAAATGTGTGTAGATTTGCATTTATAGATTGCATCTTTTGGTCTCGGTGGACCTCGTCAGAGAAATGCCCAAATGAAACTTCTTTAGTTATGAACTTTTAGAGAACTGCTATTTCTTTGGGCTTAGGGAGCAGATCATACTAGCATAATTATTGAGTGCTTTCCACATTTCATCGATTGAACTATAATCCCAAGCTTGGATTTGATTTGTTCGTAGGTTGTTCTCTAGACCGACATTTCTCTTTGTTCATTTTAACGTTAAATGTAAAACTCATTACAAACAAAAATCCCTCAAAATAATCTTGCAGATATTTCAGTCTGAAACTTTTTAAGCACAGGCCGAAAACTCTTATAGTTTTACATTCATACATTTTGTTTGAGATTTTATGGTTTGTTGCCGATGTACAGTACGTATACGTATTCAAGTTATTGGTTTTCTTACGAAATTTCTATTTTTATTTTTAAGTGAGGGGGGGGGGGAGGGGAGAGGGAGGGGAGGGGTGGGGAAGGTTGGGGGGGGTGGGAATAAAATATTGTTTTGGGGGGGGGGAAGTGTTTGAGAAAGGTGGGGGGGGGGGGGGGGGTGGGGGGGGGTGGGGGGGGGGGGGGGGGGTTTTGGTTTTTTTTTTGGGGGGGGTGTTTGGGGGGGGGCGGCAAAAAAAAAAAAAAATTAAAAAAATTTTTATTTAAACTTCTCGTTTTTACAATGATTCAATGATTTTCTATGATTCTGAAATCAACATAACAAAAGTGGTTGTTCTTCATGGACTCTTAGAATTCTTTCTTGCATTGATTTTGCAGCTTTTTCTGCTGAATTAATTACTGTCTTGCTCAAATGTGTTTTTGTTCCATATCGTTTTCTTAGACTGAATCTATTGAATTTCGTCAAGATTTTCTCCTTAACCTAGAGGTAACATCATTGCGAGTAAAATTTAGAGTATTGCTGTTCCTTAGAATTTCTCCTAACAGTCTCCGATTGTATAAATTTTCTTCAGTTTCATTTGAAAGAACACTAAAATCAATATGAATGGTATTAATTAATTAACAACTTTAATTCTATGAGAGTGGAAATCAGATTGCTGGAACCGTAAATTTAAAAGCGATTGTTGAATATGAAGGATGCAATTTTTTCTTCCGAAAAATCAGGTGCATAGGAACTATTCAAATAATGTTTGAGAATCTGTAAGATTTGAGGAATAGTTTGAATGTTTGAGAAAAATATATATATTGTCGAGCTGAATCACAAATTGGATCGCCGAGACTAATACGTTCTTTAAGTAGGGAGGTAAGGTTTCTTGGGCCTCTTTTTTTTATGCTCAATAGGCAAGCATAAAATCAAGTTTTCTCTTAAATTTCAACCCGGAATGTTTAAGTATGTTTAATTATCTTTCTTTTAGTCACAATAGTTTTATCCAATATCTCTGAATTGGACAGACAATGAAAAAATTCCCATTTCCTCAAGATTATAAAAATATCGGGGAATTGTGAGCCACTTTTTTAAATGAAATAGAAAAAATATTTTTCTTACAAAAGGTTTATTAATATCTCTGAATGCCAAAATATTTGTTAATCAATAATACAAAAATTAAAAAATTATGAAAATCTATCTGACATGCAATGCTTGCAAATCCAACAAGTTGCGCATTTAAAATGGTCTGCTCGGTCACAGACGTTGCATTTTGCATTTACAACCGTAAAAAAACATTAAACAATAAAAGTTACCTTGTTGACTGTCAAAAACCGAGTGGATCACAATTCCCCGTAAAAACTGGCTTACGATTCCCCGGACCACTATTTTAAAAAATGGCCGCAGAAAAACTATGCCAAGCTAACTTCATGCAAAATTCCTTTTTTAATCCGAAAAATATTTGTCAAAATTCTTATCTGCGTGGATTCACAGAAATGTGCTACAATAATATACCACAAAATATGTGAAAATGATACTTTGAAAGCAACAAATTTTTGTTTGCTGGCAGCTTTCATTATTCACCAGGAGCGCTGGCAAACGATTCCCCGACCTCCCCTATGTGCAAACTGAAAAGTGTTCTACCTTCAAGGGAATTTTTATATTTAATTATTTTACATGCAAAACATATTCGTTACGTTGGCACTCTTTCTACGAAATCTCTTTTTTGCCATCTATTAAGAAGAGAAAAATGCAAAGAGACCGAAAAAAGGTTTTATAATGGTTATTTTGTTATGTTGCTTCTTATCTTCATATGTTCTAATCTTACACGCATCGAAAATATTCTCAAAGCTCAATCGAAGTGTCCTTAAATTAAGAATAAAGTTTGGATTGTGGTTAGTCCTTTTCAACGGATAAATATTGAAAACAAAATCGAATGAAGAAAAAAACATCAGCTTGTATAATTTTTGTTCTTTGTTCTTAGTACTTGATAATAATTCCAACTCGTCCACGCAGTATTAGGATATTACCCCCCACAATATAATACCGCTCACATGGCTCTGAAGGCAGTCAAACTATAATTCGTTTTGACAAATATCTTCGATATACATATAAAGAAAATGTCTGAAAATACTACATACACATATGTATAGCCATAGTCATATGAATATGACAAAAGGGTACGGACATCTCTTTGTTTCTTCCTTGAGCTGATGTGTTTTTTTTATTAATTACAGCCAATTAATGTGTGGAGTTTTCAAAATACTTTTTTTTATCTACTCTTACTTATTTTTATACTAGATGGACCTACTTCCTTCAATTCTCTTATTTTCGTTATTCATCCGTTGAAACGGATTTACCACAATCCATATTTTTTTCTTATTATAAGCACACTTGAGTTTTGAGAATTTTCGAGTCAAAGTGCCGCACGAAAACTGTTCATCAACAAGTTGCTTCGGCTTTTCATGCCACCCACACGCTCCCAATAAAAGTAAGGGTAAACGGGGGTGGGGGTGGATGCTTGTCCAATCCGAGCACACGAAAGCTTCCCTGCCCACCGCGAAAGCCCTTCGAATGCCAGTCGCTGAAAGCTTTGCGGCGTCGCTGGCTCTTCGGTCCCCATGTCTCGGTGCCGGCTTCGGCTCCTATCAGTATCGGCTCCCGCGGCTCACCGGTTGCAGTTAGCGCCTGAACGTACGTCGAAACGGTTAGTTGGCATCGCACAACTTTCAGGGAATCCCCCAAAATCCCAAAGTGGCAGCAACAGGAACACCGCACCAGCTGAACAGCAAGAGCTCCAACGCCAAAGCCTAAGTTGGATTCCCGCGTTTATTTGCTGCCACTCTGGGGTCAACGGTTGAGTCCTGTCCAATTCTTATTCTATGTTTTTTCTGTGCTAGAGTGCAGTGCCGTGCCAACGAATCGTTTCGAGTCCTACTTGTCTTTGCAGATCTGCAGAAAGAAGTACGTGGGCGAGTGTTAAGAAATTTAAAAAAGTGCGTGTCAGTTGAATCTAATCACATGTTTTTTTCTCATTTTTTTTAATGTTATTCCAGTCAAAATCAAAGTTACTAAAAAGAAGAACACAGCCAAAAGAGCTAACTCAAATCATCGAAACTAACAATTTGGAGGAAGCTCTGCAACAAAACTGTTTTGGCAATTGATCCAGATTTTTGAACTTGTACTTGACTTTCAAAATTAACCTTATCGAATTTAAAGAACCGAAGAAGACGTCGATTTCCATTGGAAATTTCAACCACTGGTGAGTGTGACATAGAATTTTTTCCATCCGTTGCTGTTGCAAGAGTTGTTGTTGTTAAGGTTTGAAGTAGCTGATGTTTTTATCGTTACTTTTCTCGTTATAATTTTCTTATAATTTAATCGTAATTTTTACTCGTCACATAAAATAATAAATTTCGCGTTTAAAGTTAAGTTTGATGCACATAGTTGCAGATACTTGTAGCCTGTGGGTGGCTCAAGGTGGCTCAAGATGCAAGCTCGCCTTGCGAATTTTTCGTGTCGCAATTTCTTAATACCTTTTACTGCGAATTTGTTATTTCACAAGTGGCTGTTCGAGTATCTTCAAGATACATTTTGCACTTTTCGCTGGGTTTCAGCCAACCTGCAACTCCTTCACTGATTTTTACAGTTTCCATTTAATTATATATAAGCGGAATTCGGCCGAAATGGTTAAGGTGAGGTGCAGAGATGCCCCTATCGTCTCCGTGTCTGTGGAGTGTCCTTGAGTGTCTAGCAGCTTATTAAAATTGCGTTGCCGGCTCGACTTGGGCCGTGCTGCTGTTATGTTGCAAGAGTTAAAGTACCTGTTGAACTATTGTTCGGATGGTTTTTGGTGCAATAATTTTGACTTTTTTTCCTTGTCTGGTTTGTTTTTTTGAATGTTTTATATTTCGGCGCTGCCTGCCGGAAAAAATATATAATTTGAAAGAATTTTTTTGCGCATGCATTCTCAATATCAATATCCGTTTAATAATGAAAATATGAATTTTTTCGTCTGAACTCTAATCTTATTTTTTAATATTTTATTTTTTGCATGCTTTTTGCATGCAGTAACTGATATTAAAAATTATGTAAATAAATATGTATGTGCTTGCCATTGGTTATTTTTCAAGAAATATTTCGGACCATTTAATGTGACTTGTTTGCTTTTCTTCTCAATAAGCTCCTCCTGCTATTTGATGATGTGCCACATTTTCAGTGCTCATTCTCGTCTTTTTCGATACCGCCCTAGGTTCTACTCACATTTCAGCTCCCACTCTGTTCATTTCTTCCGCCACATTTCATTTTGTAATGAAAGCTCTTCCCGTTTGACATTTTCCATTTGACATTGGCAAAGAGAAACTGCTTGCTGCTATCGCCTCTGCTTTTCTGTCATTGGGTTATCCGTCTGCACCAGCATAGCCCAGAGCCAAGCAGTCGAAATGCGCAGTCAGCAGCTCCTCATCTGCGCTCACTGCAGTCTCACCTGCTTGCTTTACTGCATTACTTTTAATTGCTTCTCCTATTCCAAATTTAATGCCATAATAATTTGCGTCTTATGCGTCTTACTGTACTGATTCTTTTATCTAGCTTTTGTGGCAGATTCATATTCATAATTACCCAATGTTGCCTTTCTGCAAAACTCATATTCTGAACATATGCACCAGCATGTCGTCCGCTGAAGCCTTAGGCCGCCTCCTTTCAAAGAGTCGAATCGACCCCGTCGGCACTTTTTGCGTCCAGGCCTTTTTTGGTGCACATAACCGGATGCGCAGTAGCATGCAACAGTCGAGAAATGTAATTAGAAATGAGCGATTTGGCCACAGGTGAAGCACGCGTGCCAGAACCAGTGCCGCCGACTGATGCATATTGCCAGCCCATAAGCCATGAAGATTCCTTTGGGGCTGTTTTGCTCTTTTGCTGTCGTTTTGCGGTGCGTGGAACGGGTGCCATGATGTATGTGGGTTGGCCATAAAACCGAATGATAAATCGCTCAATCAGGATGAAGTTCATTAAAAGTCTGTCGATAACGGTTCTAATTGATAGTTGAACTGATTATGGCACGTATTAATGCTTAAAATATATGACTCAATAATATCCATAGATAACCCCATAGATAACTAAGGCCAATTCTTGTGATACCTTTGTCAGACTTGTACTACCAGCATCTGTACGTCCATATCTTTTCATCCCATATTTGCCACTTAAATCTCCTTCTACTGACTAAAATATGATCGAAATGGATCACATTTATACATAAGTAATAGTTTTAGTTAATTTTCTTAAATATTTTTTGAGCTAGTTTTGTAATATAATTAAGCCGATTAATCACGATTAATTCAGTAATATCATAATCAAATTCGAGACTTTATTATTCGACTAATTTTGCTTCTTTAAATAGGACTCTGTAGATTACACCCAAAGCATAGCTATGGTTCAAAAATTAATTTAATTAATAATGCCGATTAATCACGATTAATTCAGTATTCGAGATTTTATTATTCGACTAATTTTGCTTCTTTAAATAGGCTTGATTTACCAATAGCTATGGTTGAAATTCAAACAAAAAAATAGCCAATTAAACTATTAACCATAAAATTTAGCTTCAATAATAGCGAAATGCAATCCATTTGTTCAGTAGATTACAGGCAATTAAGTGAAAACAAATTTAGTTTATTTACTATAGCTTGCATGCATATTTTGATTTAACACATGACTACGGTTGCAGAGATCTCATTTAAGCAATAATATAACGAGATTCTGCACAAGAACAAAGTTTAACCACAAACCAGTGCAACTTTGTAGACGAACGAAAGATATACATAAAGAAAGCAACGGGATAAATATTTTAGAATATTCAAAGTACTTTAGAATATCTTACAATCTTTGAGTACCGGGTATACAAAAATGTACAAGCTTTGTGGTACTTTTGGATTAATTGCAGTTTCCTGGACTTAAATTAAATAGGTCACCGTTGTCAGGAGAAGCCACTCATCCACGAATATGTACATATGTACATGTGGATACTGTACTGTACTGAGCGGCAGCTCAATTACCTGTGGCTGTGCCTGCTCTTCCAGCTGTCCGTCTGGTTAAATGTTTTTGTTCCAAATTTGTGTCAGAAAATTCATTCTGCTTGATGCATCTTTTCTATCAACTTTTCTTTTTTGATTAGGGGTTTGTGGTGTGGCTGCTGCTCAGGGGTTTTTTTTTGTTACATAGATACATGTTTATTTTATATGCTAATGCGTTTAAATTCCTTCAAATCGTGTCTGCATGTGTGCAGGTGAACGTTCGCAAATGCTTACTTATTTTATATCTAGAGCCAGAGCCAGAGCTAGAGCTAGAACTCGAGCAATGCTCAAATGTCACAATTGGTTCCTGCGTGTGCGTACAGCTCTACTTCTGTGTAGTAGGACACGAGAGACATAAATAAAAAATAAAACAAGAAGGAAAGGCTAGCTGCAGGGGACACGGCTTCAAGTACCCTTGCATTTATATAAGTATAAAAGATTTTCCCAGTCAAGTGAAGCACATTCTCATTGGATACCGTCAAATGTTCTAATAGCAGCAGAACTATGAAGAGGCATTGCTTGCATGTATCTTGGGGTATCTCAGAGTCTACAAAGATATGTTCGACTATGACTTACCGCACTTACATATGTATAATGTGCTGACCAGTTCGTAAGTTACAACGATCAATCTAAAGGTGATTTCTACTTGCATTCTTTTAACAACTTGTAAAAGATTTCTGTGCACAACTACTGCTACAATATTTGTATATCCCATTTGCCAACTATGTTCTAGGCGTAATACCCTCTTGAAGGGCAAGGGTAGTATAATAGCCAGCAAACGACTAAGTCACTCCACCGCAAAACACACGCCGGAAATAAGCTAGAAAAGTGAAATAAGATAAATGAGCCAATTTGACTTTGCGTGCGTGGCCCGGCTGTTCTCCCTCTGACTTCTCCCCCCGGCTCACCTGCTTGCTTTTGCTTTTTTCTATCCCTCTGTCTCTGTCTGCTTCTCGTCTAGCATTTTCTTTTTATGGGCAAATCCTATCCATATGCATTCCAGTCAAGCGTCACAATGATGCAGTGGATTGGGTTTGTCAATCAGCGCGCCCTACAGGGAAGGGGAGGGTAGGGTTGTAGGGGGAGGAATTTCCCAGCGAGATTTGTGTACTTACAGAGGTCGTGGGAATTTGGCAATATTTTGGCTAGAAAATAATTGAAGTGGCAACTCGGATCGGAACAAATAATCTGTGGGATGTTTTCCCTTGTGCTCCGTTTATTTAATACTCATATCAGTTCAGTTTCTCTCTCTCACTTTATAATTTATAATTCCCTGTCTACCTTGTCGTCGCCACATTCCCCTATTTTCTGCCTGCTGTCTCGCTTTGGTTCGCACGATTTCTGATGTGTGCAGTGCTTATTGTTAAATATTCCTGTTTGTCTGCCTGTCTGTGCGGGCGCGTTCATGTGTGACCTTGTTGAGCACCACGTTTCCCGCGCCATTTCTGTGGCACCTACCGCTCCCTGGTAACCCGCAGTCTACAAGCCTGCGAGCCTGCTGCAGAAATAAGAAAAAATTCGGCAAATGTTCGATATTACAGATATTAATTATGGGAAGCTGCACTGCTTGTAAAATATCTGTTTCACGGTTTTCTCCGCTAAATTCGCCGTTCAGCTCCTCCTCACCATCCTTCTCCTAGTTAAAAAAAAAAACATTTTTTTTTTTAAATCAGAATTGAAGCATAAAAATCAAATAATAGAACCTTATGCAGTTGAACGAGTTCTGAGTGGGGCTCTGATGCGATGAAAGTTGACAGCCGGATGGAAGGATTTTCCTACGCATTAGCCTGAGTCAACATGCATTATTTTAATTAATTCCAAGATTCCTTGGAAATCAAAATTTAATCAAAACTCCAATTTAGCAAATATTTATTTTTAATGAACATAGACAGTAAATAAATGCATAATAATGCAGCGTGCTTGACTGAAAGAAAGTTGTCTAGCAAATTACAGGAACATAACATACTCGTACCCATCGCTGCGTTCTGACAATATTTTTCGCTACATCTATTTATATCTGACTCTTCCATTTTTACTCTTTGCTCTTAGCTCTATTTTCGTTCTCAACGAAAAAATTCCAACAAATTAGACAAAGAATGTCTTTTTTTGTTACAGCAAAGCCAGAAAAAATGTGCAGCCTTTGAGAAATTACATACATATGTAAATAGAATAAAAATAGCACGATTTT